CCCAAAGGATGCGGGCAGATGCAACGGTTCTGGCCCATCTGTCCCTAGAGGCCCGGGCCTGGGACTGTGCTCGCACGCTCTGCGCCGGTACTCGGAACCCCGGAGCTCTCTGACGCGCCCGGCCTCACCCGGCCGGAGTATCTGGGGCTCTTTGTCTCCCGACAGCACTAATCCCGAGAACAAGGCGCACCGAAGGCAGAGGCCCCTACGCCTTGGACAAGCCTGCCACCGGCAAGCCTGCTCAAATGTTTTCAATAAAATGCTTCCTGGGAAAAAAGGAGAATCGCAAAAGAATTTCTCTTCAGAAGTTAATCTATTTTCAGCAGCAGTTAAGCGCGGCACCAAGTAAATCAGATTCTAAATGTCCCTCTTGAAAGAAGGAAGAGAGGAAGAAAGGAAGGAAGGAAGGAAAGAAGGAAGGAAGGAAGGAAGAAGGGGGGGCGAGAAGGACATTCCTTAAACCATAAAGTTTGGTTTTTGGTTTGGGCTTGGGTTCCCCCCCACCCCAACAAGTAACGGAGGAGCGGGGTGAAAGAATATCAAATCTACCCAGTGCGTGTTTTCCCAAACTCGGCAGCCCTGAGCGAGCCTACTCCCCCGAAGCTGCTCAACACCCTGAGGAGATGGCATACATCGGACGATGTGTATGTATTGCAACCAGATGAGAAAATGATAATGGTTTTTAAAATATAGTTCCCCTTGTCATCCAGAGCCACCGGGATCGAAATTGCAACATCTTCTTGGAGTGGAAATGCTTGCCTTTTCCTTCCGTGGTGCAAATGTGTGAGCTTTTGCACAAGAAAGGGATTTTCCTCCGAGGTTGTCTACACTGCGGGATGGCTTCTGCTCAGTAATTTGTCCTAAAGTGAGAGCTATTTCTGGCATTAAAAAAAAAAAAAAATTCTTTTAAACAAAAAGTCATCATTACAGTGGTTCGGGTTAGTGACCATAAAATGGCCAGAGGGAAGGGGCGGGAGGAGAGGCTCAGCTCTAGCCGTGCCAGTCATATTTAATATGCTTCCCACAAGAGAAGCTCCTGTAAAATCAATAGACAGCCGCCAGCTGTGCTTAAACCTGCGATTTCAATTAGAACACTGCGCTCCAGTCCTTGGGGTTGGGCCCAGATCCCCAGTCAGTGGTGTGCTAGTCGCTGGGCCAGGGCGCGGCGTCGCACCGCCGCGGATCCCAGAGGTCGCCGCGCAGGTCAGGCCTTGCAGCGCCGCGGGCGCGCCCGGCCTCGGCGCCCTGCTCCGCAGCGTGGGAAGGATACAGGCCACGAAGGGGCTTCAGGCCTAACTCTGGCGGTGTTTCCCTACCGCCGCCATAGTGTTGAGGCCTCAGCCAGGGCCACATGGCAAAGAAGCAAAAGCGTCCGGCTTTCGGCTGGGGCGCTCCGAAGGAAATAGTCCTGAAGCTGAGGTCTGGGGCTGGAGAGGGCCCCACGGTGGATCCAGGCCCCGGGGCCTTGCGTGTTGGGCTGCAGCCCACGCCGTCGAGCCAGTGGTCTGCCGTGGGCCTGGGTGCCCCGGAATTTTCCGTGTACGTTCTGGGAATCTGGCCCGTGTGGCAGAGTGCGCTGCGGCCTAGCAGGCCTTTACTGGTCTTGCTTGCGCTGCGACCACGTGTCTCCCAGTCAGGTGGCCTGCTGGGTCCTGGTCTCCAGGAGGCACCAGCACCTCCACAGTGGAGCTCCTATACCAGTCTGGATTGGGAGAGAGACTGAGACTTCCAGAGTGTCTCGGCTCACTTCTACTGGAAAATCATGGCTTTAAGGGACAGGACTTGTCGGGGGTGGAGTCAGGGGGTTAGGAAAACTATTTTCATGAATGGATCCACGTCCCTGAAACATCTGGCTTATCCCTGGAGCCTCGTGTTGCTCTTCATGTTGAGTTATTTTGGATTTTTCCCCACTGAAAATGTGTAGGTAGGAAAGTCTCCTCTAATCCCACAGACACCTCCATCACACTCCCTAAAATTGTGAGATTCTAATTTCTATAGTTGTCCTTCTTTTTCTAATAAACAGTTCAGCCTAAAAAAAAAGATGATGCTGGGTATGAGAATGGATTTGGGGGGTTGGGGGCAGTGAATGAAAATCTCAGCACTGCCTCCACCATGCGCCACGTTTCCCCAGTCCTCTATTATTCTGCCTGAAATCATCTCGTTTACAGAAAATATTTGTTTGCACTATTAGTTGGTACTGGAGTTAATTACTCAATGTGTTAACGTGAAGTAATATGTATAAAAGTAGGATCAGTGTTTATTGTGTGGGTGAGCTGTTGAGCGGTGCTTGAATAAACTGCAATTAGGGTTAGATAGAGATTAATTAACATGTGAGTGGCAAGGTGTAAAATAGTTTCCAACCCTCCACTTCAATATAATCTGCAAGGGAGGGAAGGAGAAGTTTGTGGAAGCTAATTAAATACTTTCATAAAAGCCAGTGTATTCACCCAACATTTGGAAAGAGAGGCACATTAGAGGCAACTTGTTTTTACCCAAATGTTTTCTTTCTGTGGAGGTAGCACTCCTTTGTGATGCCGGCAAGAGAGAGATGGCTTATGCAGCCACATAAAGCGCTAGGGATGGCAAGGCAGGTTCATGGGAAGCCCTTGGAAGCCTTTCAGCCTGATGGAGCTTTCAAACCAGCAGATCTTTCAAGCTGCTGCGGAGATCAACAATTACCCAATTTGGAAAAAGGGTTAGGGTGCGGTGCTGGTGGCAAACGGGATCCACAGGAAAGTCGGGATAGAAATTCGGGTCTTGAGATGCTGCAGGTGTATTGATATTGTTTCGATGTTGGGGTGAGTTGGTTTGTTTCATGTGTGGTGGGAGGAGGGAGTAATGTGTGCTCTCCTGTTCATATTAACATAGGGATGGGGGTATATTGGATCTGGAATTCCGCCTCTTTGAACATCTCCTAAATTAAATGGGCTATATGGAAATGTTCTCCCCCAGACATGCAAACCTCTTTCTAGCTTGGAAATCTGGAAATTGGGGTGGGCGTGAGATTAAGGGAACACACTTATGATTGCTGAATGTAGGGGCAGTTTCCGAGCTTGGCAGGGTGACAGCATTAACCTACTGCAGTCTACCTCCAGGTCACTTTTCCCCCCTGGAAACTTCTTTGTTCACCTCTCTTTGCTTTCCAAATATGCTTGTCCTTTTCCTTATTTGCTATGTCCATATCTTGCCTAAAATTGTATGTTAAGGGAGCTGCAACTGGATGGGTGGATAGAAAGAAAGACAAGTTCTGAAGCGAAAGGGGAGTGATTTCCCTGAAATTAAAACTAGAGCTGTCCTCCAGCATCCCTTGACGGTTTTCTGGAGATGTTTTGCAGTGCTGAGGGGCCTGGGATAGGACCCTCAACCCCTTCATAACCTACTCCCGAATGAAGGAGAGGGTTTGCCTCCACCAGCACTCTCTCGGGCTCCACATGATCGTGTGTCTTTGGAGATGGAATTCACTATCAAACTCTCAACCCTGTTTGCTCATATTATACCCACCGTAATCCTCTTAAACTGTGGTTGCGGCTACAAAGCTTGTGGTCTTGCAAAAGCCGGCTGGCAAGATATAATTGTCCCGCGAACAAAACCGGCCAAAAGTTTTCAAAAACCCCTGCACCCCCTCCTCCCTCTTTCCTAAACCTAATTCTCTCGCTGGCTCTCTTGCTAGCCACCACCACCCCCCATAAGAACCCTCAGCCTCGACCACTTTTGTTGTCGCCAAGAGCACCCGGCCTGTTGAAAGTGCTGGAGCGTCTTTGAGCAGTTTGTTGTGATACGCAGGTGGAATGGTCTGCAAACATGAATTCAGCCCCTCCAAACCAAGCGCGGAGCGCGCTGCTTTTGTGCGCCAGGCACAAAACGCTGAATTCCTCCGAACTTACTTGGGGCCTGTCTAGAAAAGGGCCTTTTCTTCCCTCTGCTTGTACCTCTGGCCACACTAAGTCTCTGCCCGCCCCCCTTCGGGCCCCCTCCCTCTCCTCTCTGATAATCCTTCTCTTTATTTTAGAAAAACACAAAACCCGGTTCCACGCGGTGCTTTAGTGGCTAAAAGTGAAAGAGCTGCCTTGGCAGAATTCAGCTCTATGAATCACTTCGGAAAATTGGTTCGACTGAATGGCATTAGGAGGAAAAACGTTTTAATAGGATCCAGGGGAGGTTCTGCTGTTTCAATCTGCTCCTTAAACAGGTGGAGATTGGACCTTATCAATTATACAAACAGTAAGTACCCATCAGCGGGGAGAGCTGCGCTCCGAATCCTCCCCGCACGCAGCCCTAAACCCGCAGCAGAGCCTGGCTTTGCCTCAGAAACCCGATCATAAATCAGCAATTCTGATCGATTAGGATCTCAGATAGTCTTCGGGCCCTTGGTGTAGTGTCCCCCAGTCTCGGACGCGGAGCCAGCCGGAAAGCTGGAGGCGCACCCTCCCGGCGCCGAGGCCCCCGGGATCCCGGCGCGCGGCCTTGCTCTCCGTGACGCTTCGGGGTCGTCCTTCGGCGGCGGGAGCTCTCTCCCGACCTCCGACGCCAGCCAAGGCGAGCTCGTTGCTTTTGCATAAATTAATATTTCCCCATTAACAAGTTCCCCCCTCCAAACGCGGCGCCCGCGTCCATGCGCCACATCCTAATGAGGTAATTATCATTTGCGCGTGTTCGGGGCTGGCGCCGGCTCCGTGGGTAAATGGCAGTTTATTAGCACGATGCCCAGCTCGGCTGCGGAGGGCTAAGGGATACTTCGGCTACTAGACTGACACCCAGGGGCCCTATGCGGCGGCGCGTCCGGGACCCCCCGCCCTTCCCGCGTCCCCCAAACCTGCAGGCCTCCAAAGTTGTGAATCACGCACGGAACTCTGCCTAGGTTTGGGTTTGGGCTCCCCCCCCTTTCCTTCCACCGGCAAAACCATCACGATTCCTCCCCCTCCCCCTCCTGTCTCTTCCCTCTTTCCCGATTCGCAAACCGCTCGCACTTTCCCGAGGGGAGCGCGGGCGCCAGTTGCCTCCTTTTAAAGTTTGAGGGGCGGTGGTGGCGGCGGCCGGCAGGCGCGGGGGAACACAGGGGCCGCTACCGAAGCTGCGCCGCCGCCCATGTCATTCCACTTCAAGTGACTTCATGTGATGTCAGCTGAATGTAAAAGACAGTGATCTCACGCGGAGGGGAAGATGTTTGCCATCAAAATGTGACAGAAGAGACACGCTGCATGGCTCGGAACGCATCTCCTTGGTGGTGGGGGAAAGAGGTAAATGCGAGGTGGCTCTCCCGGTCCTCTTTAACTTTGCCCCTTCACTGTCCAGTTCCCAGCACGCGTGGCGGAGGCCCGGGTCCAGAGAAGGGTTCAGGGGGGGTAATTTGAGGCTCTTTTCTCCCCCCTCCTCCTTTTCCTTTGTAAACCCTCCCCCTTCTTCCCCCTTTCAAAGTCCCAGGGCAGGGGCTGGTGGGTTCCTTTGCGCGCAGGGTTAATGGGCGGTAATTTGGTACCCTTGGGTGCACTTTGTTCTGCCCCTGTTCATTTGAATGCAAATGGGTGACCCGGGTCCGACTAGGTGCTTATTAAATTGCAGTTTTCCCCCCTGCCTTTTCCGGAATGCAGACTTAGAGGAGAGAGGCTGCGCCCTGGCCCAGCCCGGCTCGGCTCCGCTCAGCGCGTCATGGCAAGCTCAGCTTCCCTGGAGACCATGGTGCCCCCGGCCTGCCCGCGCGCTGGAGCGTCGCCGGCCACTTCCAAGACGCTGGCCTTCTCCATCGAGCGCATCATGGCCAAGACGTCGGAGCCCCGTGCGCCCTTTGAGCCCCGGCCTGGAGCGCTAGAGGCGGACGGCAGCCAGAGCAAGAAACTGCTCAACCTCTGCTCGCCGCTGCCCTGTATGATCCCTCTCCAGCCCCTAGGCTACGAGGTGCCGTCAAAGACACTGCTCAGTTACTCGGAGCTCTGGAAAAGCAGCCTCCGGGCGGGCGGCGGTGGTGGAGGAGGAGGAGGCGGCGGCGGCGGGGGGGCTCCGGTGTGCAGCGCCAGCGGCTTGTGTAAAACCAACTGTGGCGTGTGCTGCAAGGCCGAGCTGGGCCTGGCGCCGTCTGCGCTGCCCACAGGCAGGGTCATCAAGCCGCAGGTCATCAACCAGGCCGTGGGGCTGCCGGCCAGCGGCTCGCTCTACTACTTCAACTACCTGGACTCGACCGCGTACCCGCCGTCTGAGCTCCTCGGCGGCCACCTCTTCCCGTCCGGCCTCCTCAATGCGCAGGCCCCCGCCGCCCTGGCTGCGCACCCGAAGCTCTTTCTGCTGGAGAACGCCAAGCTGGCTGGCCTGGCTGCGGACAAGTTCCCTCATCCGGCTCCCTATCCCCATAAGGAGCGCTTGCCGGCGCCGCTGGAGCAGGTGCTAAAGGAGAACTCGGGCCTGACCGCCGAGCGCGGCGGCGTCAAGGGCCACAGCAAGCTGCCAGGGGGCTCGGCTGATGGCAAGCCCAAAAACTTCACCTGCGAGGTGTGCGGCAAGGTGAGGCCCAGAGTCCGCGGGGGCGGGGAGGGGCAACCAGCAGCCGCTGCTTCCCTGGGGCAGCCTGGAACGCCCCTTTCTCAAGCTGAGGAGCAGCCCAGTAGCTGCCTACTCAAATTGGGAACCTAGTTGGGACTCAGTTTCCTATTCTGTAAAGTGGGGATGGCCGTGTCAGCGGCCACACAGTATTGGTGTAAGCAGCAGGTTGGGAAACACTTTACAAACTGGAAGGGGCTCTGGTTTCCGAAGGGGGGTTTTGGTTGGGGGAAGTAGGCTGTGACCCACAGGGGCTGATTGCAGGCCCTCGGACGGACGCACCACAGGGTCCTCTCATGTCTTTCCATAGGTGTTTAATGCTCATTATAACCTCACCCGCCATATGCCGGTCCACACCGGAGCCAGACCGTTCGTGTGCAAAGTCTGTGGCAAGGGCTTTCGCCAGGCCAGCACACTCTGCAGACACAAAATTATCCACACCCAGGTACGTGGCCCCTGGTCAGGCCCAGCGGGTGCGAACCTTCCTCCCACCCCCGCTCCCAAGTCTTAGCGATGGCGTTGGGGATAGGATGGCCAAGGATTCCCCCTCACCCTCTGGGGTTGGGGGGCAATGTCCCTTGGAGGTGTTCCTGAGGTGGCCTCTCCCGGCCAGGGGCTCGGCCTTATTGTGCGCGCGCCCCTCTCCGCAGGAAAAGCCGCATAAATGCAACCAGTGCGGCAAAGCCTTCAACCGCAGCTCCACGCTCAACACGCATATCCGCATCCACGCAGGCTACAAGCCCTTCGTCTGCGAATTTTGCGGCAAAGGCTTTCACCAAAAAGGTAACGTGCCGGGTGAGGCCCTCTTCTCACCTCACCTCGGGAGCCGGCGGGTCGCGGCTCGTGGGAAGGCAAAGAGGGATCCGGAGAGAGGCAGCGCGGAAGCCGCAGACGCGGGCGCAGCTTTTCTTTGGAATCGGGTTGTGCCGGGTGTAGGTGGAAGCTCTTCCGGCGGGGTTAGCAGACCGCGCTGTATGCAGGCTGGGTGCACCGGGACGCTCCGAATTTGGGAGGTAGGAAGGAAGGAAGGGAGCAGAGGGAAAGGAAGTAGGAAAAGGAGAGGGTATTGCCCTGTAGAAAAAGGTTCCCTTTGTAGCCGGGACTCCCCTTTCAAATGAAAAAAATTCGAGACAAAATCCACCTCCTGGGAACAATTTAAGATTGGGGGAAGCCTGTACGGTCCCCAGAGTCCCCAGGCCCGGCGCCCAGCACGGGATTTCCAAGGCACTTTCGGATCTCCAGGTGGTAGTTGGGGACCGAGAGGGGATAACTTAAAAAATTTTATCGGGGGAAAAAAATGAGGGACAAAGCCTGGGTTCGTGCGAATTTCTTACGGCGAGGCGTCAGCCGGGAGAAAGACCCGGGGAGTCTGGGGGCTGCTCAGAAGTTTCCCGGACGGCGAAGCGCGGCGGGGGGGACGCTGCCTGAGCCTCTGTACCCGGCAGGGCAGGCGAGCGGGGCAGCTCCACGGACTCAGCCCTAGGTCCTGTCGAGAGAGCCCCTGGCTTGACGCATACGAAGTTTGACAACTTCTTCACTCGAAGAGGTCGCGCCCGACTAGCCAAGCTTTTTTTTTTTTCTTTTTTTGCGCAGGCACCTGGGACACTCCTCCCCGCCCCCCCCCCGCCCTTCCATTGCATTACCCCTACTTTTTTCTTTTTGGTCTCTTGTAGGGAACTACAAGAACCACAAGCTGACCCACAGCGGCGAGAAGCAGTATAAATGCACCATCTGCAACAAGGCCTTCCACCAAGTCTACAACCTGACCTTCCACACATGCACACCCACAACGACAAGAAGCCTTTCACTTGCGCCACTTGCGGCAAAGGGTTTTGCAGAAACTTTGACTTAAAGAAACATGTGCGCAAACTCCACGACAGCGTGGGCCCCACTGCCCCCTCCACAAAGGACCTGACTAGGACAGTGCAGAGCTGAGAGCTACTGCCTTGCCCTCCCTTCCGGCCCCGTACCACCCCAAAACAGATCACACGTATAAACTTATTTCTAAAATTAAAAGAAAAAAAAAAAAACTATAGCAGAGAGGCTAAAATCTATTTATCGAAACCAGCATATTTTTGGAAAGCTAAACGTTTCCTCGATGACTGGCAGCAAACGCGTGGCTCCCACCTTTGTATATTCAGGAAACTTATTTAAATCCAGTGCGCTGAAACATATTTAATCCAGGCCTCGGCTTCTCCTCAGGCAGCCGGTTTTAACCCCAGCCTGTCACCGTGAGCGCCCCAGAAGAGCTCAGCGCCCCCATTCATCTTTATACAGCCATGTAAATCCTCCTGTACAAGCCAACACGGAATATATACATATATGACTCAATAAACAGAATCATTAGTGCGCGTTTTATTTCCCCCCTTCCCTCGCCGCGAGGTCAGCTCAGCAACTCGAAAGAACGAGAAGGAAATAGGCGTATATAGCGTTTTCCTTCCCAAATGCACTTCATTCGGGGCGCTGGGGCCAGGGTGAGGACAAACCAGTGTTTCTGCAGCGATTGTGTGTTAAGGCTCCCAGGAGCGAGGGCGAAAAGGCCTACATCGGCCTCCACTAGGGGCCAAGTTTTTATTTGGAGACTGTTCAGACGCTTGGGATTCTGGGTGTTGCCTTATTTGGGCGAGCAAATTCAAAGAAAAGGGTTAAAAGTGGGTGCAGGGGAGCAGCTTTCGAGTGCGTCCTTGAGCCAAGCAGCGCGCCGCGCGAGGGTAAGCAGCCGGGGCGCTGCCCTGCTGGGGGGCTCTGGGCAGGCACGGCTCCTACTCTGGGCGACCTAAGCAGGGTAACCAGCGCTCCCAATCTCCCCTGGCGGCGAGAGCTGGAGGCCAGGGATCCCCAGCCCAACCAGAGCTTCGGGGCTCGCTGGCCTGCGCTGTTGGTCTGGGTCTGGCCTCCGGGTACCGTGGGCCCTGCCGCGGGAGGGCGCGCCCGGGCTCCCCGAGCCCGCCGCCGCCACCGCCTCCCGGGTCCTGATTACCGCTCAGTTAGCCCATTTCCTGAATAGCTATCTCCGCCGCCGAGCACGCTGGTGAAATGATCTCACGCTTGCTTTCTAAGTAATGACCCAAATTAAGAGAGAAAACAGAGACCCTTCAAACAGCATTACATTAATCATCTAATCATTCCCAGGAGGGGGCCGGCCGCCGCCGCCCCGTTTGATCCGAATCTGGATAATCAAGAGCTCGGATTACTGGCGCGTCGCGCCGGGCCTCCCCCCAACCCCCCACACACACTTTTAATATCCGCGCGGCGATTCAGCCCACGTCTTCTGGAATATTGTTCCCCAGCGCCAGGAGGAAGTGCGGCGCGGGGCTCGGGAGTGCGCTTCCACGCCACCTCCCCACTGAGGGGACGAGGGTGGCTGGGCGCTGACCCCCCGCGAATTTACACTGCAGGTGCCGGTTATTTGGGGGGAAAGATGGTTAATGCAAAGGACAACCCACCAAGTAACTCTGAAAGTGACTTGAGTGTGGGTTAGCCCCACGCCTGGTATACAGTAGGCGCTCAGTGGTGAGCGCGCCAGTGGCTTCCACAAGCAAAATCTGCCATTTCCTGAGCGCTTGCTCTATGCCAGGCACTTGACATACATTCTGTCGAATGTTAACAGCAACCCGCAAGCTGGGGGTGATTATTCCCACTTTATGGAAGAAGAAATAGAGGCAGAGACAAGCTAAACAACACGCCCAGGGTCCCAGGCTACGAGGAGCAAGGATTCGAACTCCGGGCTTCTAGGAGACTAACGCGGCCTTCTGTCCTGGTCGGTGAAGGAGGAATCTCTGGGTGGGGCGCAGCGAAAGATGCCCGAGGGCAGGGTGGAAGCTCGGTCCTGGTCACTGCCTACGGTTCTGTCCCCGGCCCCCGCCCAATTCGCAGACCCATTGCGCAGGGAAGGAGAATTGTCGATTTTGTTTGCACAGAGGACGGCGACAGCTTCCTCAGGCTGTCGCGGGGGTATTTTTAGTACCTCCGATTCAGAAATAGGAACGCGTACATTAGAATTCCATTTCCTGAAAGGAGAGCGTCCTCGTTTTTTTGTATTCCTCCCCTCCTCCCCTCCTCCCCCCAAGTCTAGGAAGACGCAGCCAGGGGAGGGGGGAAGAGGAAGCGAGAGGGAATTTAAATGTTAGCTCGTTCTGGCTGCAGTTCGCTGAGGGGAGATTGGGACCCAGAGGAATATGCAGATTTAACTCCGAAATCTCGGTGGATGCCACAAACCCCAGGAAACCCCAGGATGGGCGAGGAGGACTTGGCGGCGAAGGATATAAAAATATCGCCTTGCTTCTCCCAGACATCTATTCTCAGGGAGACTGCAGGCCGGTTCGAGGAGTCAGCTCCTTCCCTTGTTCTCATACAGCGTTTTATTAGCGCCTCCCCCTCCCCCCACCCCCCGCACATGTCTGGGAGATCCTGGGTGCCCTATGACAGTGATCTCAACCAAAGTCCTTTCCTTCCTCTGGAGAGGATCCGTTGCAGATGCGCTTCTTGGAGACCACACAATGGTCAGGGCAAGCCTACATTCTTCTTAAATAGCTCCAGAACTTTGGGCAAGGGGCAGGCACCATGAAATCCAGTGCAAAAGCATCCTCTTAAAGAAGTGAGCGTAAAAATTGGCCTGCATGTGGAAATCAGGGTCAAATTCTCTTTAAGATAAATAAAAGAAGGGACACCCCCACCCAGGGAAATAACTTTCTAACGATCAAGTAAGAGAACTTTCTTTAAGCAAGTCTATTTTTACAGGAGAGAGACTCAAAGGGTCACTCATTTCATAAAACTGGAGAAATTTCTGGGTTGACAGTTCTGAAGAGGCGTAGAGATTGCTTGTTTGCAAACTGAGCAGCAAACACAATGAAACTCTTGGTTAGAGTAGAAGTCATTTCTCTGGGACTGCTCATCCCTGCAGTGGAGTGATTGGCTTGGAGGCATACCTGAGCAGGCTTTCTTGCACACATCAATCTCCTTGGGGTTGCTTCCTGATAAGCTGATTGTATTTAACCTTCACGCCAGCTTCTGTCAATCGCTCTCACCTGAGAAGGTGTTGGTTCACATCTGGCGGTAATTGTGGATAAACAGAGTTCTTCCGCATCTACTAGACTTAGCTCCGCTTTCCACAGGTTTGAAGAAATCTGCTTCCTTCAGGTGTGCGACTGAGGAAAGGATTCCTTCACCTGAAAAGTGGTGGGAGGAGAAACGGAAACTTCTGCCTGAATTACTTGCTAAACACCTTTCACAGCCAGCACATATTCTGAAGCCAACTAGTCCTTTCAGTAACCATCATAGCTGGGATACTTCTTAGTTATTCACCATGCATCGGAATTGATGGGTGAAAGGCTCTGTTTTCTGATATTTTTCCCCTCCTAATATTAAACTGTTTGCATGGCTTATAGTTTACAATTTTAATAAATGACTTAAACAAGGTAGTCATCAGCTGCATATTAATATTCTAACCTTGATTAAATTGAACAGGCCGCCCTTAAAAAATATTTTTAAAAAATCAAATTGCGGGGGAGGGGAATCCTGTCACAGACACAAAAAAGACTCCAATTATTTTTTCCCCTACAAGATGTTTGTTCTGTCCATGACTGCTCACACTTCAGCAATCTTGCCAGCAAGACTCAGAAAAAAAAAAAAAAAAAACCTTCTTCCAAAGCCACAGCCTTGTACATAACAGATTGTACAGTCCTATTGCCTTAGGCGGGTTAGAGGTTCCTCTTTGCAAAGAGCGACGCAGAAAAGTTGCCAGCATCCAGACACATTTTGGGGGACACTGTGCTCGTTCTTGCCTTGGCCAAAGAAGTGTGTCTATATGGTCCCCATTTTGCTGTTTGGCTCACAAAAGGGTAGACGACCGCCTGAGCCAGGCCCAAGAGTTACAGCAATAAGGTGTCCAGGTGTGCTGGTGGTGAATGGGCAGGGGGAGGGAAGGGGAGTGATAGGAGGCAGAGTCGGAGGGAGCTGCCAAAGAGAGGACAGGAGTCTTGAGAAAACGCTGGGAAATAAACAACCTCAAGGCAGCTGCGTTGCCCTTTTCCCTGCACTTCCCTCTCAAACGTCTGAGCAACCAGTTTGCTCCTAGAAACATGTTAATTGCCAACGGAGCTCATTAAGGCATGCACATGCAAAACACAGCAAGAAAGATTAAGTGGACAAAAGCGCAATAATGAACTGTCAACAATCGGGCCCATCTACGCGACCAGGATCACTCAAGAATGAGGCATTTAGAGGCAACAAAGGATTGTCTGGGACAGGAAGAAAAGACGACCTAGACTTTTGTTTAGTCAACACAATTGATTACAAATGAGAGATTAACAGGATAGCTTCAGATTTTTTTAAAAAGAGGCAGAAAAGAAAAGTCCAATTAAGTCCACCGAATGTTAACTACATTGCGTTCCATGCCTAGCCCCAAAGAAATTCTCATTAAACCATCCCTGGCGATCCCTTTTGGAAAGTAATTTGTCTCCCTGATGGAGCAGAGAAAGAGAATCGTGTAAAAGAAAGCGTTAGTTCTTGGCACAATGAGCTTAGGAGACACACTAGAAAGAGCCAAAGGGGGAGTTAATGAGCATCTGACAAACTGCTTGGATTCAGGCCTAGAGAACAGCGATGAAAAGATGAAATTGGCCAACAACTATTCTTTATATCAAACATAAAAAGGCCAATCTGAAATGGGGCTGCTCAAAACTGGTTGAAAGTACATAGCCCAAGAAAAGGGAGCCATGGCCAGGCCCATTGGTGGACAGTGGACAGTGTGAAGAACTCAACAGGACATAAGTTAGGAAATAAGTGGAAAGGTGGCCTCTCTATCGCAGAGCAAACTCCAGCCACCGGCCCCAGGCCTTTGGAGGTGCTGATTTGAAGCTCTTGGTGCCCCCACCTCCCACCCTCTGGATGTTTCTTTCATAGGGGAAAAATGTGTTAGGCTAGCATTTGAGGGTTCCTCCAAAGTTCTGATAATTTGGTACTTAGCCCCTGGCATTCACCAAACCACTCCCTTCTCTTTTAGACCCACAGACCCCCTGGGGGGACCATATGTTACCAGCTCACATTAGTTTTTCTACTCTCCTTTGTCCTAGTGACCATTCAAAACCCTCGCCCTCAGGTGACTGCCTTCCTAATTCTGCATGGAGCAGAAGTTGGCAAGGAAATGAAGACATTGATTACACCAAGGCTTTGTGGAACAAGTCCTGAAATATTTAAATTATTTCTCATAGCTGTTCATCTGGCTTTACAAAACCACCTCATTTTAATGTTTCCTTTTTTGAACAAAGTAGGTCAATGGTATATGTCTATATGAAACACATATTACATCTTAATTAAACCTAAACGTCTAGGCATCC